CTTGACCTGCATGAGTGAAAAGTGCTCTATGAGCAGTTCGAACAGGAGCATCGACCAAAACATGCAAAACAAATTAATTCAATCGTTTATAAACCTTTTTCGTCATTAGGAAGCATAATGAAAGTGGAAGTAATAGAATTATTTAATACATACGATCAGTATCTTTACAAATGATAAATGATGATTTACTACCTATATGTGATGAAAAAGGCAACAATGCAGGCAGGTAAGAAAGATTATTTTAATAACTAAGTTCCAGTGAAACATGCTTTAGATTAGTTTTTCCTGCAGTTTCTTGAATCTTTTTCCCAGCCTAAAACAAAATATCATGTGCTTTTGTTATTCTGTTTTTCATTTGCACTAATCTTGCCTAGAATGAATCTGTAAAAGCTATTTTATTAATCCTTTCATGAATGACCACAGTTAGGTCCATGACTTACATATGTATATCGTTATAAGAGTTGTTTTCATTCTGGTGATGTGTATTACCTGGTACATTGTTAATAATACCTGGTGGAAAACCAGCGTAGATTATTGATTTAGTATTAGAATAAATTTCGATTGTTGATCGATGTTGAATAATACTTCTTTGATAGCAGAAGCACAAAAGAGTGCAGTAAGTGGTGTTTGTTCAGCTGGTTTGAGAATAACCACATTGCCTATTTGTTATTGCAATATATAAGAAAGCGTAAATTAATAGAAGTAATGGAGTTACCACAAACTAATGCTGATCCAAGTTTCAAGGCCAACATAACAGTCTAAAATATAATGTCAACAATACTTTTGTATGATGCATATGTAAGAAAAGATATCGTACTGAATAATCACTGAAAGAAGAAAGTACAATTTGAATTTTCATTTATTGAATGTTTGAACTGACCATAAAATGATTTGTTCATAGATCCCAACTGGTTTGTCTAATACAGGTAATAAAAATACCTGATTCTGATGGAAGTGTTTCATCAGTGATTTTATCAGCGCATCCAGCATCTGTAACATGTGAATATCATCGATAACAAAAAAAAGAGAATTTCAGAGGGGCTTACAACAATCAAGACAAACAGCTGCTCCAAGAATCTCGCAATAACTCTCTTGTAGCAGTTTTTCACTGCTCAGTGTTTCTAATCTCTGAATATTCATTTATGATGTAGATGCAAACAAACAGAGTGAACATTTTTACTGCTAAATAATCCACAACACGTGGAAGTAAATCAGCAAGTTTATGAATTAATTGAGCACGTGCAGCAGGATCTAACTTACGCCATGGTGAATCATATTGGAAACCTTTTTTTAGCAGCTTCAATTGTTTTATCAAGATCATCCTACAATATTGAAAACAATAAAAATTACACGTAGAACGAAAATAATCATGTGTATATGTATATTGATACTTTTGTGCCTTCTTCTACTTGACAAATTTCTTCATCTGTACTTGGATTAATGATAGAGAACGGATTCATCTTTGTCTACATGATTGACCTTGATTTATCACATAAGAAGAAAAGAAAGAATGGACATATATTAGCTCATTCCTTTATCCACTTATATTCATTGCTGTTTCAGTTGCAGATGATGTCTTCGATTTTAATGAATGATTCAACTTATGAAACCAATTTGGTTAAGAGAAAACAAAAACTTGATAAGGTAACACACCTGAGTATTGTAACAAGTCTTCGTGTCAATGTGGTATTTTTTAAAACTTGTCTTATCGATTGGACTTTGCGAAAAGCGAAGAACAATTTTTCTAATAATATATGTATTTGATATTGCACTTCACTATAGAACTATTTTACTAACAGGAGCAAATCAGATCATCCTTAGTATATGCAAAACCATATTCTTTTGATGTGATTCTATTACTAAAGATCTTATCAGTTCGTTTAACGTGAAACACTCAATATATGAAGGAAGACTTCCAGAACGAAATTGCCACGATGGAAGGAAGAAATTTTTAGAATGGCGAAAATTTCAAGTGAATAGAACTAATTTTCATAACTGTACGCTGGATTTCGAAAGCGTTGTAAATAACAGACTAAAGCATTCTCTTCACCAATATCATATATCTACGTACGTGATTTCAGCTAACAAATTAACATTTTTTACAAGAATATTATTGTTATTGTTCAAAACTCTAATGTCACTTAGATGATAGAGAATAGGAACAATCAAAGAATTTATTATATATAAAAACTTCTTTAAATTCACTATATATATAATCAATAAGTAATGTTTTACGATAGCAGAAAAGAATCGATCACGCTTCTCCTTCTTCAATAATCAATTTGTTTCTTTGTATTGTATTTTGTTTAAAGTCTTTTAAACAATAAAATTTAAAATGTTATTAATTATGTATCTTAAATTGAAACTAGATTATGATCATTCTATATAATCGAAAGTTTTTATCCCGAAAAAAGATAAACGTTTGTTCTTGCACTATGATCGTTTTCTAATGCTGATGACAATCTTTGTGGACCGCGAGAACCCATCGGAATGCGCCGAAATCTAGCTAAAGTCTTTGGACCCACGGGAAATCTAGTAATGGTAACGAATAAACTACTAGAAGCAACTTGACACTTGCAGGTATCTAATCTATAGTTATGCATTTTGATTTGGTCAAATAAGGTTCTTTGGTGCTTGTCCACGACGGATTCGATAGAGTGAATGACTGAAACACGGTAACCAGAAGATGAATTTCAGTAAAATATCGAGTGTCCCAGAAGAAATGGGCCTCTTGGTATTTTGAGGATATCTCTTTCGATATCTGTCGGTTTTGACATTATTTTTTTAATGAAAAGATTCGTCTTTTAATTCTCTACAAAAATGGTATCTTTTTTCTTATTATAATTATTGTTCATCATTTGACGAGGTTAAGTTCAAAAAGTGGTCGGAGAAACAGTATTTTGTAAAGCAAGTTTTTCACATCATAGATTGTAGTTGTTTAATCCTTTGGCTGTCGACACAAGAGAAGGAAAAAACGATTTTGCAGCAAATTTGTTTATTTTTTCTAGAAGAGTTCTATAGCATGCATTAGTAAAATGATGATTTTGGATGTGCACGATGTCTAACGTTTATTTTTACGCAAATGCATGTGAAAAACATACATTATAGATGATTACTTTAGTTCGCGCGAAGATGAGGCTCCTGACGTATATATACGTCGGCGACAGCCAATGGGTTAATAGATATTTCTTTCGATATTACTTTTTTTCCAGTTGCTATAATGCACAAATTTACCTCAATTTGAATAGATCCATTGTATTTAAATCTAGAGTAAGTGACGGCCAAAACTCTTTATCTAATATAGAGAAAATATTGTTTTTGCATCAACTCAATCTTTTCCGAAGTTCTTATCTCTATGAATGATTTCGAAGTAAATCTGTCATTGTAACAGAACAATGCAATAGCTGCTATTCATCACTAACTCCAATAGTGATTCAAAAACAATATTTTATCTATATTAGATGAAGAACTTTGATCATCACATACTCTAGATTTTAAACATAATGATCTATTCAAAATGGAGTGAGTTTGTGCATTCTATTAAGTGGAAAAAAAGTAATATGGACAGAAACGTCTATTAAACAACTGCAATCTTTAAAACGCATGGCCATTTTTGTTTTGAATTTTGCTTTCGAATAATCTAGAAATTGCTTTAGTTTTAAACGAATTATCAAGGACTTGTCATGCAATTTTTACCACATTTTGAATAAGATCTTTGTTGAAAACAGGTTTGATCGACCAATGTTTAAACAAGCAACGATTCAGATCATGTTCAAACTACACCTCATATCTTATTTCTGTTTACTCATAAATTAGGAAGAAGAACTTTGAAGGAATTGGTTTAGATTGGATTGATATATCTTGTCGATAACATTTCTCATTCAAATTTGTTTTAGAAAAGAATAAGTACAAGAACAAGTACAGAAATACATATGAAGATACGGCTGGCTTGTGAACAATCATTTTGGAAAAAGTAAGATTCAGGAGGATTTTTGAAAAATTGTTTTGGAGGATAGCTTTTGAAAAAGCAGGGAAAGAGAGGTTATTCATTTTTGCTGCAGAAAAAGCGTTGTCGGTATTTGAGACACATCAAAGTATCTAAGTATTATGAAACAAGAAAGTTATATAAACTTTCAACAGCATACAATTCTCAGCAGAGGTCAAAATAAAAGATTTTCATGTATCGAGGAAGTAATCTTTTCAACTATATACAAGGGGAACAAACTGATTTCATGATTTGTTGATTTCAGATGATTTCAGATGATTTCATGTGATTCCATGTGATTTCAGGCGGTTTCAGGTGATTTCAAATGATTTCAAACTGATTTCAGCGATCGAAATCAGTTTGTTCTCCCTTGCCCAGCCCAAACAGTGTCTAGAACCTGCAAAAAAATTGTCATCTCAATCGAAAATATCATCTTGGAGAAATGGAGGCGAAAACTAGGGCCATTTTCCGCCATTGTGACCCTATTATCTCATAGAAGACAGCATCAGGAAATTTTGAGTCTATGACAGCTTTTGCTGTACTCATCAAGATCTATGTGCGCTGAAAATTTCAAATTTTTCTGATGAGTTGTTCTCCAGAAACCCCGGAAAGAGGGGAAGGGTGGTGTACCCTTAAACTATCTGATGTTGCTGTAGAAATAATTATGCAGGTCGTGTGTGCTTTGATGGTACAAAATACGTTTAAGTCACAGGTCGTATTCATGCATTAAACCCGGAAGAAATACTGACCAATGAAATTTAAATCAAAGATTAGGAATAGTGCAACAACATTTCATGATTCACCTCGCCGAATTTATTCAAAAAAAATCTTTTTTATATATTCTTTAATCTCTTGTTTAATGGGGGGCTCAGGTGTCGGGAGCTCAACTGTCGTGTCACCAAACAATTATATGAGTTTATTTGTCTTTTAATCATCAAAAAAAAAATACTTTTTATTATACAATATAATTATACATAACAAACAAAACTTAAATTTATAATGTTTCTTGCGCAGATTATGAAGTTTGATTTTCCCATTCGTCATCAAGTATCATTAACCAAGGAGTAACATGTTTTGGTAATGATTGTTCAATGCCTTGAAATGTTTTACAATCTGGATCATGACATTTTTGTCGATATGTTCCTTTACGCATATCAACTATAAAACTAAATAAAAAAAATAAATTTTATTCTATTGTTTCATAATCTAATTCTTACTAAATATTATTCTGTTTATGATGACGTTTTATATTTTCACAATATTTATAATCTCCAACATACATAAAATGAATTACCCATCGAAAATCATTTTGAATTTCTTTTACTTTATATAAACGACTTATACGAATACCACTACCATTATCTTTTTTATCACGTGCTATATTTGTCATAAAATTAATTAATTCAGGATAATCTAATGACATTTTTCGTACATCTTCTGTGATATATGATGATTGATTTGAACGTTGTACACGTGAATTAATTGTTTGTATGGCAGTTAAATTTTCATCGTCAACATGAATAAAACGTCGTATAGGTCTAAATAAATATACAAAAAAAAGAACAAAAGAAAGTTTTTATAAATTAAATATAACAGATGATTACATTTTGCATTTCATAGTGTAATCTCTAAATATATTTTATTTAGAAAAAAAATAGGATGTACGACAAGATGCTGCGTAAAAAGTTCTAGAATTTATTTTAATAGTGTATTCTGTGCGATCAATTTTCGATACTGCAAACAATATCATTTTTTTAGTACACACATAACATTCCTCATGTAATAATCCGAAACATTGAGATCAGGACTATTTGATAGTCATCCATAAATGTCTATAAAGTACAGTCGCCTAGAAGCTATTTATCTTCAGATTGTGCTTATAGAAGAACAACTTCAATATTATTTTCATATGATAATGTTTTATCAGATTTAGTTATCATAGTAGACGTAAGACTATTTTTAGATGCATGCAACTATATCATAATTCTTTTTGGATACTTAGCCTTTTGATTTATATCTCTCCTTGTTCGTCTGCTTCTTGTCAATTTACAACATAAATATATCCTAATGAGAAATATTTTTCATTAATAAATAGAATTGTCTGCCATTGATGAGATAAAAAAAGAAAGCAAATTAATCTTTTATTATTGGTTGCACAGAATTTTGCTTATGCTTTGAAAACAGAAGGTACACATAATCAAATAAGCTTTACTTTGTAGATTGTAGAGTTTTGCACGCTACATCTTGTTACATATTTAAATATATTTAAAGATGAAAATATGAAATGCAAAGTGTAACTATGTATTATTATAAGTCATCCGTTAATTACTTATTAAAATAAACAAGTGAAGCCATAAATGTTTGTCGTTCAGTTTCATTCGGTTCAGTTGATGATGGACGTACACGTCGTAAAATTGGTTTCCATTGATTTTCTGGTGCAACAGTAAAACATTCTTGTTTATCAAATTTACTTGAACGAAGTAATCGAAATGCTCGATTTTTTGTATAAACACCTAAAATAGATTCAAATAATAATAGAAAAAAAAAGAACACTTGATTACATAGATCAATTTAAATTCACTAACCCATATCACAAAACCATGTTATACCACTACCATCACTTTTATTTACAATAAATTCTATCATATCTTTAAATTTTAATTGTGTATAATCATCAATACAATTACATTGTTCAAATCGTAATAAATGAGATTCAAGACTTGAAAGAAGATTTTTTGCAAAAACTAATGAATCAAAATTTGATTGTATTTGAGATGTTAAAGAATTTATTACAGTTTGACATTGATGATTTATTAAACAACCATGAATATCTTCTAAGATAAGATTAACAAATTTACCAACGGCTATATTATCAAGAAATGGATCTTTTGTTTGAAATATTAAATGACGACTAAATTTTTTTGTTGATCTATAAAAAATACAAAAATTATAAATATAAATTTTCGAATAATATATATATATTTTTTTTTGTTTTTACTTACGTTGAATCCAGAATAAGAACATCTTTAATAGAATAATCCAAATCATCACTTCGTTTTCGCATAAAATTGAGAACAAACTGGAGTAAAGTTATATGTCAAATTCTATTGGCTATACATCAAAAATTTTCAACTAGCCAAAACATTTTTTTTTAATAGGTCTTAGATCAAAGATAAATTCCTGTAATCTCTTTGACATATATATTAGTGAATATGAATTTGCAATCAAATGTAGGTAATGAAAGCAGAAAGAGAGTTATGACTAATAAAACATTGAAGACAAACAATATCAAAGTAATCAACAATATGTGCCGTGTCTGCCGAAGTTTTTATGTGTCGGATTCTCGAGCTAATTATCCTAATCCTATGTGAAAAAGTTTTGTCGTTATAAGCTATTGTTAAGCTGCTTGCATGCACTTAAGCACATGTAAAGCTCTTATAAACATCAATGTACTGTACCGTTAAAGTCATTCTAAACTGTTTTACTGACTAGCATACATTGGTTAAAATAGCTTAAATTTCAAATCTATAACTGATGAAAAGTACTTTTCAATCGTGTAACTTTGAAAAAACGAGAAAAAGAAGAAGGACACTTTCTTTTTTGGTAAAAACCAAAAGTGAAAAGAAAGAATTATGCTTCTGATGGCCTCAGCAGTGGTTTCCAAACGGGAAAAAAATAGTGTTTTGTGGTCAACTCAATAATCTGGATGGATCAAAAAACTGATTTTTCAGAGAATGAGTCTCAGAAATCCGCACGATCGATTACCTATAACCCACTAGATCTCATGCAAAAAAGAAGCGATTAGACAGTTAGGGATCTTCTTTCATAAGCACTTAAAAACGCTTATAAGTCAAAAACTTGAAGTTATTTTAAACGAGCTATTGTTATAAGAGAAAAAAAACGAAAAAGAACTTGATATGAATTTATCTGTCAATGTTGATGAATTGAAATACTGTTATTTGAATGACATCGCCTCTTCTTACGAATCTCAACTAGGAGATGTATGAGACCGAAACTACAATAAAACAAACAGTTGTACTAACCGGAATTAAAGATTATAATTAAATATTCTATGGCTTTAAGTGAATTATCTTATAGATCATATCAATCAAAACACAGATAAACCAAAACAGCGCTAGTCGTCGAATAGATCTTTTCTCGATAGGAACCGAGATCAAAAGAAACTTGATCTCACACACACATCTCTCATCTCAACGTCCAAGCACTTAATAAAAGTATTACTAAAATTCAGGAAAATAGTAATGCTAAGTCTTAGAAGTTGATTAAACATTGAGGAAACAAACATTTAGAATTCAATGTAATCTTAATATTTTTAGTTTATAGTGAATAAGAATCGATCAATTATACCTGGATAAAATTTGTAGTTAATCTAGGTCCATTAATTTTTGGATTAGCACTAATATCGTATTCAAGATCAAAATAAAGTTTTGATGGTTTTTCTAGAATTCACAGATTAAATACTTAATTCATCGATTTATATTCAGCTTACTATCAATAATAATTTCATATGTATGACGTTGATTAGCTGGTAATTGACTAAATTATTATTTTCTTTTTTTCTTCAACGAATATATATATATATAAAAAAACAAAAACTTTCTTACTAATATTCATGAATAAAAACATCAATATCAGCGACTTGATATCGACGTTTTCCTTCTGGTTGTGATTCAAAACTGAATAAATAAAGAATTTCTCCCTAACAAAAAGAGAAAAAAAACATAAACTATCTTTCCATAAATCAAAAAAAAAACAATGATATTTTACTGAATTATTATTTTTTTGTCTTTTCATAATGAATTCCAATGCTTCAGCTTGTGTCCAAAATGTTCTTGTTGCCTGTGCCATTTTTATTAATAAAAGTCGATGATTTTTGTTTTTTTTTTTCGTCAAATTATTATCAACATTAACAAAAAGCTGATGTTTTCTATTCCCCAATAGAAACACAAAAAAAAAAAAGAAATTTCTTTCAAAAACAAAAAAAAACGAAAGAAAAAGAAAACATTTTATTTCATTTTTTATTCTTGCCATGGCTGATTGTAAAATGTATTTGAATTTATGAACTAATATGCAAGAATAAAATATTATCATTTGTGTGCTTAACATTCATTTTTATATATACACATGCCATTAAACATTTTACAGTGTTGAAAAGAAGAAAGAAAATTGACCACGCACACACATACACACAACAATTTACAAGCAAAACGTCCGAAAAAAAAAGCTGTTACACAAAAAGAGAAAAAAAAAATCTTTTTATTTATTTTCTTTTGAGAGAGACAGAGAGAATCAGCAAATAAAAAAAAAGACATCTATCTAGTATGGTACAGGACACTGTTTAAGTAATATATATATATATATATATAATATTTATATAGATGATAATTATGGAGAAAAAAAAAAAAAAAACAAAATAAGAGATGCGCAAATGAAGGAAAATAAAATTATTGTTATTTCTATTGATAAAACAAATAATTTCGAAGAGATGTAGGTAATGGTAAATCATTAATTAAATGTAAATTCGTTCGTTCTAATCGTTTACGTATTAGTCGACGACATGAATCCATTAATTGAAGTGGTTCAGCTATAATAATTGAAAATATATATTATAATTAAAAAAATTCTTTTTTATAACTTACGTTCTAATCCATTTATATAACGCATTGTTATTTCACAATGACCCCATACTGATGAAACCATTGGATAAAGTGCACCTTTATCTTTAAGATTACTAAATGCAACACCTAAATATTGTCCATCAACAATATATGACAATGTTCCTTTATCCATATCAAGAATAACAAGAAATTTATCTGGTACAATAAAACATTCATCAGATTTTGTTGAATATCCAATACCATTATTATTTATTGCATCAGCTGGATCAGTCATTGGAGATGATGATGATGATGATATTGTTGATAATAAATTCGATGAACCTACTGCTGTTAATGGATATTGTGTTGCTGCATATACACTATTTATGCCTTTATGATAAAGTTTATTTCGACCTAAATCCCATCCCCATGATTCTTGATTCATACCAACTAATGCTTGATAACCAGGACAATGAAGTGGAGCTCTTAAAGTACCTACACCTACAACTGCATGTGTACCACGTTGTCTTGTATTCCTAAAATGATATACTATTGTGATTGAAGACGATAGAGAAAACAAAATAAATCAAATGTTAGTATTTAACCTTGACAATTTTTTCAGTAAATAGTAAATCTTATAAAGAAAACATTTATGATACGAATGAAATATTATCTTTAATTTTGATTATTTTATATTATAGAGTTTTTTTTTTCGCTATATGTAATATGACATACCATTCAATTTCCCATACATGGATACCACTTGTAAATCCTTTTTTACATCGAACTGCATCAGTACTTTGTGCCACAGGCTAGTAAAAAAATAAAAATAAAAAATCTAACAAAAATGAAAATATGTATCTTTACATGTCGATGAAAAGTACATGGATCATTATGTTTAACAAAAATATTCATTGAACGATCTTCATGATTCCATCCATATTCAAGTTGTTTTTCACGTGAAACTGGTGGTCGATCAAGAAGAATATCAAGTCTAATAGGAAAATATTTACTTGGATCTAATGATGGATGATTTGTTATATTTGAATAATAATATAATGAATTAAAATCATTATTATTATTATTATTATTATTGTTATTATTATTATTATTATTTGTATTTGTTGATGAATATGATAATGTTGTTGGATGATGTATTGGTAAAGGATTAAATGAAAGTAATGGTAATGATGATGTTGTTATATCTTGAGTTGATGATGATGATGATGTTGTTGTACCAGATATAAATGAACGTAAATTAACTATTTTACCATTACGAAGACCCATTGATGATAATAAATATTCTTGTTTTATTGAATGTGAATGATGATGATTAGTTGTTAATGATATAGAATTATTTGTATGGTGTAAATGTGAACGTAATGGATAAGTTTTTCGAATAGGAGGAAAAGGAAGAGAAATTAATTGTTTATTTTTATTATTTAAACGTCGACTTCGTCGTAATGTTATTGTATTTATAGATGGATTGTTTAAATCTACACGCTAGATAAAAGAAGATAAAAAAAACAAAGAAATTATTTTTATTTTATTAAATGAATTTATTATAATTTAATAAAATACTTTAGTTAATTTGTTTCGTTTTATATGAATTGATTTTGTTATTAATAAACGTTGTTTTGATTTTTTTTTATTATTACTGTTCGTTATTGTCGTTTTACGTTTTTTAATATTTAATTCATGTCGATTTTCAATTGATTTAGTTTTACGAGATAATACCATTTGAAAAAGAATTAACGACAATAAAAAAATGAATTTTTTGATTTAATAATAAAATTAATTTATTAAAATAAACGCAAAACATCGAGGTTGAACAACAATTAGAATTAATAACTAATAAGAATAAATAAATGATAGAAATGAAAACCTATGAAAAATAAAAAAAAATTCATGAGAAAAGTATTTGTGACATGATCAGTGACTTAAAAATAAATAAACAAATATTATATACTGAGGAAGTAAGAAAAAGAAGAAGATGAAATGGATTCAATCGAACGATAATCGACATTAGTAAGATCATTGTATAGGAGGAAAAGAAAAAAAAAAATTATAAATTTATTTCTTGATGAAAATTAATAAAACTCTTCATAAACAAAGAGAACATTTATAATTATTTAATTATAAAATTTTTTAACATAGATGTCACTATATTATGGTCAACTATCTGTTGTACTATATGATATATTTCTAAAAGTATAGGATAACCTAAATGTATAACATCATAGAATTTAGCTTATTCGGATGTGAGAATTGCTATCGATGCATTTAAATTTAACTCGTTAATCTTCTTGAAAGTAGAAGAAAATAATAGAATTAATTAATTGAATATTTTCAATCATTATTTGTTTATTGATAATTAAAAGAGAAAAATTCATATAAACTATTATGATTTTATTAAGAATGTATTTTGAAATATAAACATATCTCATAGAAATTCTTTTCTTTTTTTCTTATTGAGATGCAGATAACAATAGTAATGTGACACTATGAAATAAATACATGGAGCACTACAAAAGCTTTTTCAACCGGCTCTCTAAGATAGATAAAAATTTTTATTTATCACATTCCAGCCATACAACAATTGTTTTTTTTGCACGGAACGAACTCCTTTTTTTCTTGTTTCACCTTTTTACCACTTAATATGTTTTTCATAAATAAAAACAAAATATGTGGGCAAGATGTCGTATGAGAAGCTGTACAATTTACATAGGTGACAAAAACATCAAACAAGAAAAAAGAAATTTTTTGTTCGTGTTATTTTTTCGCAATGTCGAAATTTCATCGCTCGAAACTTTGTCCATTTTGAAAGCGAAATATGCAACTATAAAAAAAAAAGTAATCTTATGTAAATTGTAGAAGTCCACACGGTGCACCTTATGATGTATTTTGTTTTTTTAACACAATTCATTAAAGGACGGAATATTGATACACAAAACATGACCATGTGACTTGCCTCACTGGTATAAACGAAATGATTGATTACAACAAAGCACAAGACTTAGAAGTCTGGAATTTTGCACGTCCATGATGTAAAGAACACATTGATTTTATATTGACAGATAACACATATTGTCTTATGATATACAGAATCTTTTATAACTAAAGAGAACCAAGACGTTCATTCGAATTATATACTGTTTATTAATTGTTTTTTTTTATTATGATATACAATATTTGTTTTTCTTTTCAAATCGCTTGGGAGTAGATTTTTTTTTCAAGCAAAGACTGTTCTTTCAGACTTCATAATTTTCCAGTACTAACTATTCGACTATGTTTCTTTTTTATAATAAAAAAAAAAGTCATTTCCATCATCAACTATAATAATTAATTGATCAAAACTCTTGAGAATGCAAGCAGCAATATTAGAAACATTTCTCTTTTCTTTTTCTCTATAGACACCTACGTCAAATGATTTATTTGGAAAAGCAATTATGAATAACATTGTACATATAAGATATGAATGTATTTAATAAAAATATTGAAAAAAAAAACCACTTGATACATTTTATTTCAAGCCGAATTTTTGTTTCAAAGCCTATCTCGTGCTGATTGAATAAATAATAGATGTGTTCTACAATATAACAATAAAGTAAATAGTATAAGTATATTATTCATAGTTAATTTATTGTTTTACTAGTTAGTAGAAGAGAAAAAAAAAAGAAAGATGCTTTGATAAAAGTTTTAGCTAATCATAAAAACAAAATCTAGATCAATTTAAGTTTGTCAATATCTGAAGAGTGAAAATGACGTTGAGCTATGAATGAAGCTCGTATTGATTAATTACAATAGATATCTACTAAAGGTAGTGCTGTTGCTGTGATCTTAATTTTTATTTATTCATTGAAGATAAACAACAATAATAATAGTATGGATCAATATTTTTTTTATCATCTTACCTCTATCTATCAGATAAACAAGCTATTACTAACAGATTTTCAAGAAAGGCATTAAATGACAGAAAAAAAAACTTAGATCATTATTTATGAAAGACAATACAATACTTTCTCTATTGCAAAAACTAAAATATCCTTCTATGTGACGTTGAAAGCTTGAAGTGTTAATAATTTTTCAAGAGAATTATATCTACTGACTGTATTTAGTTAAGACACAAGCAACTACAAAACCAACTACTAGCAAGGAAAAAATTTGTTGATATTGCTTTACTCAAGTTATTGTATAACTTATTGCGTTCTCTTTTTACGTGCAGCAACAACCAACTGCTTATGAATAATCGATATGATAAATTACATATCATTTGAAATACTAACTTCATTATTCGTTGTTTATTACTAAGTCAGACTCTCTGGAAAACAGATATCTTTCTTTCAATCAAAGATTAACAATTGTAGATGTCAGCTCAATATCTTCTAAGAAACCTATATTACAAATGATGCGAACTTTATTAATAGTTTCCTACATAATAGAGTCATCTGTAATAATTCAGATCAAAACTTTACAAATCTATTTTTGTCACAATCAGTTCAGAGAGTTTTCTATCAACTAATAGAAGAACTTTTTGAAAAAATATATACTGAGAAAAACTTATAACAAAAAAAGAAGCAAGACTCCTTTCGAGTCGATTTGAATTATACCCACATTGGACAATTCGAATCACTTCAGTGGAAATTCTCATTACCTTATTTTTCCATCACTTAGATATTCATATGTAATACAAAAATGTATATTCGATAGTTCAAACTGTTTTCTTTCGGATTCGAAAATATCTTAATAAACAAACGAACTAACAGATGCGATACAGTTTAAAAAATACTCCGACTTATGTTATTCATTTCTATTGCTAGTGTAAAATTAATCTAGGGTAATTCGGATCAATTCAGATATGATAGCGTGAGACCATTTAAAAAATCTGTATCACTTCTAGAATATAATTTCGAACAGTACTATACTGATCGAAATTTTATTATTATGACATCAGTTGAATAGTGATCAAATAGCATAGAAAAATAGGGCGAAAGACGCTCTATCTGTTCATAAAAAAAGAAAATTTCTCTAACCTTTCTATAAGAAAATTTGGTAATGGCGCCACTACTTTTGGATTGCCCTAAGTAAACTATTTGAGATGCGAACGAGAAGTGGTTGAACAACGACTTTTAACTTGTACATTTACTCAATATAAAAATTTTGTAAATCAATTAATTTGTGATTTACAATCACTAGTAAAAATATCAAGAGTTTCTGTGTTTAGCTGAGAAAAGAAAAAATATTCAATTTTTTCAAATTTATAACAGCATGAGAAATAAAAACTTTCTGCTATGCAAAATGAGTATAGTTCAGTCGTTGCATAATAAATGTGAAAATCACGATTCAATAATGGTTAGTATCAGATAAATATTTTGAAAATAAAAGTATCTAACAATTTTAGATTTCCAGTAATAGATAGACAAGACTTGAAGCATTTTTTCATGGAATAGCGTCCGAGATAAGATCTATTAAAAGTGATTTATCGATACAAAACATTGAAAAGATCTGTAATAATTATATGTACCTTCAATAAACATTCTATAGTACTGTGTATAATATCTGAGATCGATACTCTTAGATATATTGTAGATATTGTTTTCTCATTTTATAATGTCGATCGACGTAGATTGAGGAGCAAGTTTATCTATCAAAAGTAAATGCTACTGATTTGAAAATGTCTAAGAAATCAATAAGATGATAGAAAAATAAGACACCGAAAATTTATATTGCAGTGATTCGAATCCCTCCATACGATGTAATTCAGATAAACTCCAAAGAATTCTCACTTATTTTGCTATAACTTTTCCTCAGTATATACTTTTTCAAAAAGTTATTCTGTCATAGCTGATAGAGAACTGTTTGAATTGGTTTTAATAAAAAGTAATCATTTTGTTATTGTATAGAATCATAGAAAACGAGAAAAAAATAAAGAGCTTTAAAGTTATCTGTGGCTCAGTGATATTGGGAATCTATTAGACTGGATTTTATTTCACAAATAATCCTATAGTAAATCAAAAATTTTTCACTGAGATAATTCAGGATTTTGAATTCAGTGTTGTCCTAGTTCGAATTACACCCAGATAATCTTTCAAGTATCTTCATGTGAAACTTCAATCGAATGAATCTATCAACTAAGAAATTTTATGTTATTGTATTTGGTGGCAAGTGGCTTCGAAGATTCGATCTTTGCCATAATAGATGAAGAGAATGTTACAACAATCTGGCGAGTTTATACTTTGTTGACGTTTCCTGTTCCCATCGCTTTCAATCTTGACATCAAACATTTGACGCTCATGTCAAGTTGTAAACAACTTAAAGGAAGTCATTGTTTGTTGTTGGATTGACCTCTATTAAGAAATAGTAAAAATATAGAAGCAAGCAATCAAAGAAGAGAAATATTATGGGTATCATTATGTACGGACTTTTTCTATTAGTATCATATGTTATTGTTGCCTGCTCTATCGAGCAGAGATGAGCTCAATTTGATTCGGTTCAAAAAAAAACACGAATAGATCCCATCTTTATCATTGAGAAATTTTCTTCTCATTGCAATTGTGTTATTGCACACCTTGTTGTGAAACACTATCCTAAAGACTATAATTGAATCATTCTTAAAATGAAATCTTCATTGAAATTTTCGCTTAGCTCACTGGTTCTGATATTTAGGGAATGTTGTTTTATTGATTGAATAGACTATTTGAAGCTTTGTCACGAGAATACATATAAAAACATATTGATTTATCAAAAGTCACAAATCACGGATCCTAAAAAGCGATAATATCTTGAAAAAATTTAATTTGAATACAACTTCGACCGACCTTGTAACTGATGGTGGATAGATGCATTCAAAGAGATGAAGTCATCCACTCCCTTCATTTTTATTTTCATAACAATCTACTACAAGGTGAAGAGAAGAAAAAAAATTCCAATTGTCTTAACAACATGTAGTCAGGATTGAAATAATTACAAAATGAAGAGAGTAAGAAATCGATGTTTTTTATTTAGATATTTCATTCTGATTCAAAATTCAAAACATCTCTTCCACAATCGTTTACAATTGTGTTTCACAAAAGAACAGAGAAAATATGATGTTTCAAGTTCAGCTGCAACATATCACAATTCATTCAAAAATATCAATGAAATTACGATCGCCTTTGCAATACAAAGTTCTTAATTCTACGAGCCATATCTGGTACTGGTGGTGGTCCATTATTCAATGTAGTTGAAATTTTTGGTATGACAGTTCGATAACATGTATGAAATAGATGAAAAACAGCAAGTAATTTCTCTTTGCGAATCGTTTTTTTATTTTCTTCAAAACCAATCGAATTATATTGACATGGATTTCGATGAACATTGATTACTGAATCATCTGCAACATTCACACAGGATGTGTTATTATTATAAACATGACGTTCTGGCATATAATTACAACTAATTCCATTTGTTGTCAATGTCGAATGGTGACGAGTAGTATTCGATGATTGAAAAACAAATTCGTCACCAACTAAATATGGAAGAACCATGAAAGTAAAATAGAGAATTTCTTCACCATGTGGTAATCGTTCTGGTAAATTATGTCCAAATAAATACCAGTCGTAGGCAAGTGTTAAATAGAGTATTTCTTCAACTGTCAGTGATTGATGAATAAAACCATCGGCCCATAATGATAAACGAAGCAAAGATATAAACAATGGTGTTCGATCCCATCCCGAAAGACAATGAATAAGAATACCACGTTTTTCTGTTTCAAGATGACGAAGAAGTATTTGAAAATAGTTCTGCGTTAATTGAATAGTATTCCATGATCGCCAAAATAACCAATCGGTATTTACACGTGAAGCAAGATGAATCGGTACGTCAAGTAGAGCATCATTTTTCGATAGAGACCAATCGTAAAACATAAATTCACCATTGTATTTCTGTATAGCTACTTCTCGAAAATGTTCACATCCTGGATAGGGAAGTAATATCATTTGAAATGTTCTATATCGATCGTGTTTATCAAACTTTTCCGATGCTGTTATTTTCATACCGAATAGAATATTTTTCTGTTGTACCATCAAATTTACTATTGAACCGATATCGAATATATTCAATAGATCAACATCAGCACTGCGAAGTTTATCAAAAATAGTCCGTTGTTGAGGTTGTTCAATGTCAATGAAAGCATTGTCAATATTGGCTGCAGGTTGAGCAAAACGTCTATTGCCAGCATCTACTAAAAGATCCATACTTAATCGTGGATATATTTCACCCCAGGACGAGAGAGTTGCCGATCGACAAATATACTTTCCATCGATGAATAAGGTAGGAACAACGAGACGAGATCGACATCGAGCAATTCGTGATCGAACACAACAATCACGAATATTGATTGATGGTGTAATTTTTGGCGTTTGTACTTCAGACCATTTGTCAATAATAGGTACAAGAATTTGACTTGGATAAGCTAATGATAATTCACCATTTGTATTGGAAATATATCGACAAACATAATCTTGTTCAAATAAAATTCGAACATTTTTTTCAATAGTTTCATTTTTTATGTCAAGTTGTTTGGCATTGTATTGCTGTTGTATAGAATTACGAAGAAGATTAATAATATCATTCATAGATATTAATTCAGATGTAAATCTATTTTGGAATGTTTCCATTTATATGAGTAATGTTTTCTTTTTGTTGATTGTAACTGTGTATGAAACTTGTTCGATGAATGGTTGCCACATGTCATTCGTCAAAATTTTCTCCACTTAGTATTGTAGCGAGAGGAGGAAGAAAAACAACTTTTTGCATTATGCATGCAAACAGTGAATCATACATCAAGCATATGTCACGAGAATAATTGCCTCAAACTTCACGTAGAAATAAATAGAATCGATTCTTATCAAATACGTGTTGTTATGAAAAAACAGATCGGAATGGTGAATAATATGATCTTGGTGAAAAATGTTGAAAGGAGAATGTGTCCGATTGGAGCATATCTCTATAAAACTAAATACTTGAACAGTCACTCTAAAGTAATTATAGTAAATACAAAAGTTTTTCAACTGTAATTTGGTACTTTGAATGATAGATTTATCAAGAAAGAAACTACTTAGGGCAATTCAAAAGTAGTGATGAAGGTATTTTAATTCCTTATAAAAAACTTAAAGAAACTTTCTCTTTATATAGTCTTATGGTAAAAACAATAATGCTGTATTTTTCTGTAATATTTGATCATTCTTCAACTAATATCGTAATAATAAAATTTTGATAAAATCTGCTTGTTATGTCATGTAATGGTGATATTAGAACATATTATATCAACAATCTGTATTCTCTTTCTGATATTCAATGTTCTTCTCTTCGTTTATTTTTCTTTCTTTTCTCGTCTCATTCAATGCCTAGCTGTCTATACATATTAGGATATACAAAAAGTAGTGGCGGTAGAACAAAAAAGAAATACAAAAACAAGTTTATCAAATTTTTATTTCATCAAATGTTCGATTATCCATTCAAAATTGCATCCGTTGAATTCATTTATCGAACTTATTTCTATACTTGTCTTTATTTAAAGAGTCCATGAAGTTAGACACATCTTAATGCAACAATTCTGTATCGTTTTGATTAGTTAGATTTTCTTTGATCAAGTCAAATAACCAAAAATCACATGGTGGCAGATCCGAAGAATAAGGCGTGTGTGGAATTATTATGATACCTTCAGATTCAAGACAATTCAACACATCTTTATGAAAATGTGTTCATCCATTATCGTGATGAAGTTTAATATCATGAACACCATATGAGGATCTTTGCTTCTCGGTTTTTTTGATGAAAGGTTGCAAACAATTATTGATGTAATATTGATGGTTAATAGTTTGTTTCCGTTCTACATGATGAATTAAAACAGGACTAGTTGATATTAAAAAGATACTAGATAAGATTGTTTCAAGTTGACCATCATATTTCTGTCAAGAGAAAATCATATTTTTAAATGACAGGACAAAAAAAAGACAAAGTGCCTGTCAAGTCGATATTATACGTATAGTTATTAAAGACAGGTTTTTTTTTAAAGTACAGAGAGAAAGTTTCTTTAAACTTTTTATGAGAAACTAAAATACTTTGCTGCTACTTTTGGATTGCCCAATGTAATTTCGGATTTAAGTGAAATAATAATTCTAATTCAAAAATTTCCTCAAATTAAAACCGTACTTTTAAATCTACAATTAAATCTAGGTACGAAACACTGAGCGATATGCCCAATTCAACATTTAATTAGAATTCAAAAAATCAATTTAAACAAAAACTTGGTCCAAATTTTAGCAAGAACTTTATTCTAAAACCAAAATAAAAAACTTATTGATCAAAAAAATGCCAAATGGCATGTCGACACATCTGTCATGATGTGTGAAACTCAAGAATTTTATTCTGAGTTGCCTATCATGGTCTATAGTGGTGTACAAAAAGTCATATTGCAACGAGGAAAATACGTTTTCTAATAGGTGTTGAATTTGAAGTAGATCTGCAACAGTTCGTGATCGAGGAACTGAAATAGTATCACACATTTAGTTCACTTGAAAAGAGCTGAGAGTGCTCACCAGTTGCTTTGAAATCAACCGAAACTGGTGACCAGTTGTTTTTTTGACAACTCGAACAAGTACTGAATAGAATTACTGCATTAACATTATCAGTACACCAAGTCCATCTGGAAAGGACTGGTCACTAGACCCAGTACTCGAAAGAAGAATTGATTAATGAACCGAGTTCCGAAAACAGAACTGACCAGTAGATCCAGTTTCCGAAAGAAAAACTACACACCGGATCTAGTCCGAAAAAAAAGGAACTTATTTCTAGACGCAGATCTTAAAAAATAACAGATTCATAGAATGGTGAGCTGTCACAGACCTAGTTGGAACACTATCTGATTTGGAAAAAATCTACATTCGAACTCAAAAAAAAAAAAAAATTTACATAATCATAAATTACAATATTTACAATTGAAATTATTTTAGAAATATTCGTGAGCCGACAATCTCGGATAGAAAACTCCACAAAATTGGGTACGCAACAAACGTTTATGGATACAAAGAGCATAAAAGCTTAACTTTTATATGGCTGGTAGCGCGCGAGACAATATCGGAGACTAGCTAGTAAGAGTGGTTTCATAACAGTCATTTTTATCTCAGTACAAACTAAAAATACTATTATACAAAATATTTAAAAATCTCTAATGAAGATACTCTATGCTTTTCACTACAAAAAATCTTAAAACTTGAGAGTCAAGAAAGTTTCACCAATGCAATCACCAAAAGCTTAAATTCGAAACTAATAACTTACAAATAAATATAAAAACAAAAACCTCGCCAGTCTAAAGCGTTCAAAATGAGAAACTGAGAAACACAAAAATCTCATAAAACAAATTATGCAGAACTAGGTAAATAGTCTTTCAACACACATGTTTTAGACAGATAGGCCTACATACACCAAAAAAAAACGGTTTATCATTTTGCAGTTCCTACACATATGTCTGTTTCTACGTGAATATGTCGAAAGATAAAGTAACGTAACGCTATCAGGCGACAACACTGATTTTTTTTCTCTACGTTATGTTGAACAATAGCGCAGCTAGAAATGACCATTTCAGTCAAATGACTCTTCTGTTTTCTTCTCCCCTACGTGAAAAATATTGTGCGCATTGGGTCATGCAATAAATTTATTTTTCAATATGTTTTCATGAAGAAAAAGACAAATAGGTATGATACTTTCGATTGAAAGACTCTTCTCTTTTCCATTCCCTCTCTGTGTAAAAAATAACGAAGAGTGAGCGCATTCAGGCATATAATAAAATGATTTTTTTCGGTATATTTTCAAGAAGAAGAACGTGGGCTGGTATGATGCTTTCAAACAAACTGGTTTTCTCTTGTGTCGTTCCGTCTCTATCTAGAAAAAGAGTGCACCCATTGAGCCATGAAACAAAATTATTTTTCTACAATGTTTTCAAGAAGAGGAACACAGTTAGGTATGATGATTTTGATCGAACGCCTCTTCTTTTTTCTCGTGCTTTAGCTATTCAGAAAAAGAGTGTGCGCATTGAGCCATGCAATAAAATTATTTTGTCTCTTTGTTGCTAAGAAGAGAAACACACCAAGGTGGGATGCTTTTGACTGAAGGACTCGCCTCTTCTTTCGTTCCCTCTGTATGTAAAAAACGGAGTGGGTGCACGCAAACATACCATAAAATTATTCTTTCTATATATGTTCAAGAAGAAAAACGTAGGCAGGTATGATGCTTTCAATTAAAGAGCTCTTCTCTCTTCTTGTTTCCTCTCTATATGAAAAAACCAACGTAAGCATTCAGCCATGGAATAAATTATTTTCTCTACGTATTTAAGAAGAAGAACATCATTAGGTGTGATGCTTTTGATCGAAGGGCTTCTCTCTCTTTTTGTTTCCTCTCTATATCGAAAAAGAGTACACCCACCAAGTCACGCAATAAAATTATTTTTTCTGTATATTTTCAAGAAGAACAACACAAGCAGGTATGATGCTTTCAATCGAACAGTTCTTCTCTTTTTTTGGTTCTCTCTCTATGTAGAAAAGAAGTATGCGCGTTGATCCATGCAATAAAACTATTTTTTTACTATGTTTTTAAGAAGAAGAAGAAGAAGAAGACATATAAGTATGGTACTTTTGATGAAAAGGCTCTTCTCTTTTTTAGTTCCCTTTGTATGCAAAATAACAGTGTGCACATTGAGGCATGTAATAAAATTAATTTTTCTATATATTTTCAAGAACAACGTCACAGACAGGTATGATATCTTTGATTGCAGGTCTCTTCTCTTTATACGTTCGCTTTCTATCTAGAAAAAGAGTATGCACATTGGGTCATGAAGTAAAATCATTTTTCTGTATGTTTTTAAGAAGAAAAGCACAGACAGATATGATGCTTTCAATAGAAGGACTCTTCTCTCTTTTCGTTCCCTTTCTATCTAGAAAGACAGTGTGAGCATTCAGATATACAATAAATTTATTTTTTCGTGTTGTTTTCAAGAAGAAGACAGATAGATATGGTGCTTCTGACTGAAACTCACTTCTCCTTTTTTATTTCCTTTCTATGTGGAAAAAGAGTGTGACTATTGGGCCATGGAAACAAAATTATTTTTCTGTATATGTTCAAGAAGAACAACAAGGGCAGGTATGATGCTTTTGATCGAAGGTCTCTTCTCTTTTTTTCGGCCTCTCTCTATTTAGTAAACGATAGTGCGCATTGAGCCATGAAACAAAAATATTTTTCTGTATATTTTCAAGGAGAAAAACATCTGACAGGTTCGATGCTTTCAATTGAATGCATCTTCTCTTTTTTAGTTTACTCTATGTAGAAAAATAGTGTGCGCCTTGAGCCATGCGATAAAATTATATTTTCTGTATGTTTTCAAGAAGAAGAAGACAGATAGGTATGGTGATTTTGATTGAAAGGCTCTTCTCTATTTTAGTTCTATCTCTATGTAAAATTACAGTGTGCGTATCAGAGGCCGAAAACGAACTGAACCGAACACGAACCGACTTTTAGAAAACTCAATCGAACCGAACCGAACTCGAACCGGGCAATCTTGGCTCGGTCTGGATCGGTAGCAGTTGTCAGTTTTTAAAAGTCGCCTTACATATTCAAAAAAGTACTTTCACTTCTCTCAAACGGGTCACTAGTTAAAGGGTAGTTAAAATAAGCAATTATCTGCCATTAGAATACTAATATACAGCTTTTTTAAACTATTTTTGCCGACCCGATCCGAAGTCTAGTGGTTCGGTTCGGTTCGAGTCGATCCGAACCGAACTCGAACTGACTTTTTAAAAACTCAATCGAACCGAACCGAGCCCGAACCGGTTTTGAAAAATTCAGTCGAACCGAACCGAACTCGGACCAGAAAAGTTCGGTTCGTTTCGACCTCTGGTGCGTATCGGGGCATACAGTAAAATTATTTTCGCTGTATATTTTGAAGAAAAATACCAAGGACAGGTATGATGGATGTGGGTGATTGTACGAGTGTGTAGGTGTGTAGGTGTGTAGGTGTGCAGGTGTAGGTATGTAGGTGTAAGTGTATAGGTGTAGGTTTGAGTGACATCGAAGGAAGACTCACTCTCACGCTTACACATCTCACACACACCCACACACCATATAATGTCGCATCGAGCCATCAAACAAAATTATTTTTCTGTTTGTTTAGAAGAAAAAAACAGTTAGGTAGGATGCTTTCGGTCAAAGGACTCGTTCCTCTTTTCGTTACCTCTTTATCTAGAGAGAAAGTGTGAGGAGCATTCAGCCATGCAATGAATTGTTTTTTCTTTACGTATTCAAGAAGAAGAACATAGCTGGGTATGGTAATTTTTTTCGAAAAGCTAATTGTTTTTCGTTCCCTTTCCATTTCAAAAAAATTGTTTTCATTGAGCCATGCGATAAAAGTATTTTTCTGAACGTTTCTGAAAGGTATATAGCAGTTAACATGGGCGGATCGGATCCATCGGCTGTGGTCTTAATTTTTGTGTCGATGCTCAAGATTAAAGGCGATCGTGATAAGGTGTGAAACTGATTCCGTTATATGTAGATGTTGTTTTTATGCAGAAATGTGGGATATATCTGATGAAAACTGTCTTATTCATTTTGTTGCCTCTCCATCAACAATACAGCAAGGTAAGTGAGTGAATAGCCTATGTTATGGCCAGATTCGATATTTCTAGGGCCAATTCGCCTAGGAAAATGTTGCAATACCACTTTCGGATGTTCCAACTACAACTCAACAAGCTCCATCATATGGTGAAAATAGTTCCTCGATACATCTTATGTTAGCCTTGAGAAGCCTAAAGTACTTGTTTTTTGTGCCCCATTGGATATGTCCAAGCGAACATTAATTTTTGCGTCGATTTGCCTACGCGCATGTTCCAACGAAACGATTTATGTTCCAAGTAGTATTCAACGAGCTCTATAAGATAGTGAAAAGCATGAATCAATAGCATACTCTCGTCACATGGAATCGTCATTTTACTGACGAAATTTTACTCATTCCAAGGAATCTCCTGGACCGATTCACCTACGAACATGTCCCAAGTAGAACCCAACGAAGTCTATCAGTTGGCAAAATTCATATTTGCATAGCATCCATCGTTCTCAGGAAATCCTCACTTTACTGGTACAATACGCCATACAACTAATTAAGCCGGTAAAATGACGATTTCTTGAAAATGAAGGATGCTATTCAGATACGATTTTCACCAACTGATGGAGCTCGTTGAATTCTATTTACAGCATGAATACTTTTATTGGAATATATTTTCAGGCGAATCGGTCCAAGCAATACCGTAGAACTAGCGAAACTGCGACGACAAAGAAGCAATTCTACGTGAATTGAACATGCTATTCATTTAGGTTTTCACTATCTAATAGAACTATGGTTGAGTTCTACTTAGATCATGAATACTTTCTTTTTGAACATATTCGCGGGCGAATCAGTCAGAAAAAGACAACAGTTTTCTATGGCATGCCATCATGGTGAGCATAGTTACAGATGGAATAAAGATATCTCGAGAACGAGATATACTATAGAGATACGACTTTCACCATTTGATAGAGCTTATCACTTTCTACTTGGAACATGAATAGTGTTGTTGCAACATGTTCTTAGGCGAATTGGCCCATAAATTATTATTGGTTTGAATTTATCCAACGAGGGGAAAAGGGGTACTTTAAGTTTTTTTCGGTTAATATAAGATATACCGAGGAACCCTTTTCATCGTCTGATAGAGTTCGTCGAGTTGTAATTGAAACATATGAAAGTGGTATTGCAACATTTTTCCAAGCGAATTGGTCATAAAAGAAGGTCGAATCTACGCCTAACATAACCTACTTACAGAGCAATGTATTAATGTTTTGGATGATTCAGTGACACTACGTCACTTTGTATTTTCGAGTTTTGTTCATATGCAGTAAAACATTTTTCAAGCTTTTTCATCGAGTGATGTATCTTAAAACTGTCTACAATACTCTATATTTTGGTTAATTAACATGTGAATTGTGTTTCATAGGAGTCGAAACATATTATTAAGAGATATGATCATGATTTTTTAAACTTATGCCGAAACCGAAATTTTTCTTATGCAATATTTTCATTCTTCGATCATCAATTCTTTTCCTTGAACATAATTTCAATTCATGCTTCCAACGAACTCTTAATTAGACGATAAACATATATCGAAATTGTGTTCAAGCAACAGAAATGATAATCGAAGAATCAAAATGTTCTATAAGAAAAAATTTAGGATTGGCATCAATTTAGAAAATTATGAACATATCTCTAAAAGATTGTTTCCACCCCTGTGAAACAAAATAATAATGTTAATTAAACAAAATGTAGCGTTTTGTAGCGAGTTTTACGGCATACATTTCGATAAAAAAAAGCTTTGTAAAATGTTTGACACTATATTAACAAAACTGGAGAATGCAAAATAATGCATTTCCGTTGAATAAGTCGATATTTTTTGCGTACATACATGGACTATTAGCGTGAGATGTGTCCGGACTTCGCGAGTTCTGAACTCCTGAAACTCTTGAAAGTTCAACTTCGCTTTAAATCACTAATGTCAATAGAGATATGAACAAACTAATTATTATGCTAACTGCCTGAGCCGTACAAGGAACTCACTGAGCCTACTAAATCCAAAGAATTCACAGAACTTATGGAACTGTAAGAACTCACGAAACTCAAGAAAACCAAGGAACTTAAAGAAAACCAAAGAACTCGAGAAACCTAACAAAAGAAAGAACTGATGGAACACAAGATACCAAGCAACTCATGGAACTCATAGAACCATCGGTACCTACAGTACTCCAGGAACTTGTGAAACGAGAGAACCACGCGGATACCAATAAGTATTGATCATCTCTCCATCAACAGCTAGAACCAGATGCAAGCACACCTTTTTCTGCTCTATCGGAGGCTGAAAAAGCTTAACAATATGTGAGAAAATTCTATCTTTCTCTGATAGAGAATTCAGAACGTCTTAGGAGGGAGCTAGGTTTCCTTACTTATCCGATGAGGTTCTTTGAAGAACCACTTTGACATAAGCCCACACTATGATCATATTAAATCAGCTTGGTTATAGTAATTTATTCACCTAGGCATGCATTTGGTGTTGTGGCTACTGCTATGGCTGAAAATGTTTCGAACAAGAGTGAAAACCTTGAAATCTTGGTTACATAAGAACCAACACTAGTATTTCAGAGCTAGAGTAATTCTATATTTCGCTTTTTTAGGCAGAAGAGCTAATTTATGTTTGAATGAACGTTTAATTTCCGAAAAGAAGACATGATCTTTTATTAATATTCGCATTTTCTTTTTTGTTAGATATATTTTCAACATTTTTTAAACCTTTTTTCTAGATATTCGCACTAAAGACGTACTTTATTGATCACTTTCTTGTTTAGTTTATTTATTATTTACACTAATCAAGAGCATTTGAGAATCATGTCTAGTGCTACGTCATTTGAACCTATAGCAATCATTGGGATGTCTTGTGAATTTGCTGGTGGCATCCATACGCCCACTGATTTGTGGCAGGCACTTGAAGAAAGTCGTGATCTAGGCAGTGAAATACCTGCCGAACGGACCGATCTCTTGTCGTATTGTGCTGATATGCTCAATCTGGATAATGGTGAATTCAAACGAAAGCTCATACAACGTGGTTATTTTTTGCCAACATCGGTGCTTGACACCTTTGATGCAAGTTACTTCAATCTCTCAGATGGAGAGGCAGTTACGATTGATCCGGGTCATCGCCTTCTCATGATGAAATTTGTTCATTTGATTGAGGACGCTGGCTATACTTTAGAAAAAATGCGTGGATCACGTACTTCGGTGCATATTGGTCAATTCTCAAACGATCATGCAATGGGATCACTTCGACTAAAACCAGAACATCGAGCACGTTTTCACGCTCCACACATACTGCTTTACAATGCATCAGCTCGTTTGTCCTACCATTTTGATCTGCATGGATCTAATCTATCTCTGGATAGTGCTTGTTCAACAGGGCTTCAAGCCATTCATCTAGGCGTACAAGGATTGCGTACAGGCGAAGCTGACATGGCTGTTTGTGGCAGTGTTAATACTGTTATGACACCTGAGCAAATATACCATTATTCCATGATTGGTGCCTCTTCTACTGATGGACGAAGTCGAGCGTTTAGTATTGATGCCAATGGTTATGCGAAAGGTATAGATGATACTACTGGAAAATAACCCAAAATGTATTAGGTTTCTGGTCACAATAGTCTTCCAGATTCTTCCATTATGATGTGTAAAAGTCTAGTAACTTTTGACATCGTGCTTTTCACTTTTTACTTATCGATGTCACAGAAGCCTTACTATTTCTTGAGCAATGCATGAATCTGTTCATAAGATCGCACTATAGTGTTTCTGCCAGACACCATGAGTAGGAAACCATTGGATTTTAGATAAGTTTCGAAAAGAGAAGCTATAATTTGGTTCTCGGCGATAAAGCTAGAGGTTAAACATTTCTGTCATAGTTCCTACCTAGAAAATATCTTCACTATATTCCTTGAGAAATTGCAAAAGGAAAATGGTAAAGAGAATTTTGCCATACCAATTCCAGCATATATTGATATATCCGAGTATCAATGTTCTAAAATTCATCATATGACAGTGAAGCTTTCTTCTTCCCTAAATTCAATCATGCATTCAATTTGATGAGAGTGACGTCTGATAAAAGTCTTCAACCTGAATAAAAAAAAAGATACCTTTCAGTTTATTTTTCGCTTTTCTTGTTATCTTCAAAGGTAGAAAAAATAAATCTCGATTCATTAGTGAGTTATTTGTATTGTCATTTCATCGACACTTGTTCATTCAAAAATGTCATATAATAGGTAAAATATTTAAAAGCTCCTTTAAATGAAGACCGTAGTTTTTATCGCAACTAAGTTGAATTTTTAAGAAACTCTGTCAATTGTAATCTATCTTTTTCTTTCGTTATCTTTAACTTATGAACAAAACTTTTATCTTCTATAATGCTAGTATTAACAGATTTTGACTGTTCAGCTTTCACTGAGATATCGAAGTTCAGTTTCAGAGCTTTACTCTTCAACTGTTAATTATACAATAGACAATAGGAAGCATTGTAGGATAACAACGAAGCCGTCTCAATTCTTATTTGTACATCGTCATTTCCCAGTGAAAATCATACTTTCGAGTTTGAAATTCAAATGTTACCTCCAAAAAGATCTGACTAGGCTAATTTGCATCTAACATTTCAGAATTTTCGCATGGCATCTTTCTGAGAAATGAATTTTTCAGGATATCAGTACCTTTCCAGAGATATTTTAAATTTTAATTTTTTGAACAACTCTTGTCTCAAATAGGATATCCAAAGTTTGAAAAAGTTTCGTGCAATATCATTTAGTTGATGCTTTTATCGAATAGAGCTTTAGCTCAAAATTCACAAAGTAGTTTTGCTAGAACATTGAGGCTCTCGACGGTAATTTCACTAAAAGCTCACAATATTGCAAGCATCAGACGCAGACACGAACGCTTTCATTTTATTGATGAGTCATCAGATTTTACAAATTGTTTTTGGGGAGAATTCTAGTTTTGAAATTCTTAAAGCATTAACGTGCTAAGTATATTCGATTTCAATTTTTACTTCTATTTGTTTTGAAGTGCTATCGCAGCACCAACGATCTATATGAAATGATCAGTAAGATGGAAGTTTGATAGTGTTAGATATGATTTTTAGTTCTGTGGAGTCTTGCTCAATGGATATTTCTTCAATTGAGAGTTTGGCTTTTAATGAATTTTAGATCAGAGATTAAACTGTCTGTTATGTTTTAGGTGAAGGCTTAGGTCTCGTTCTTCTCAAACGATTAAGCGATGCTGAACGGGATGGTGATAAAATTTACTGTATACTGCACGATGTCTTGAGCAATCATGATGGTTCTGAAGGTAAAAACGGTTATGTAGTACCGGCGGCCGCCGGACAAGCACGTCTCCTAGGCGAAATTTATGCTAGAACACAGTACGATCGAAATCGTATCTTCTACGTTGAAGCGCATGGAACAGGAACACAAGTAGGTGATCCAACAGAAGCTAACACTATTGGTGAATTCTATGAACGGTCACCTTTCGATCCTCCATTATTAATTGGATCTATTAAGAGCAATATCGGGCATACAGAAGGAGCGGCTGGTATTGCATCTCTTATTAAAACAATAATGTGTATGAAACATAGAGCAATTCCACCAAACATGCATTTCAAAGCTTATAATCCAAAAATTGAAGCAGGCCGATTTAACATGCATGTAGTCCAGACAATGACTGCATTTCCTCCACTTAATATTGACGGTGAAAATGAACATCCAGTAGCTATCGGCATTAGTTCGTTTGGTATTGGTGGCAATAATGCTCATGCTATTATCGAAGAGTATCATCCAAAAGAGATATCGATCAATGGAAATGGTCATGCTGAAGAAGAACTGCTACAACAACATGATCTTTTTATCTTTTCGAGTATGTTGCCTATATTATATATTCTCTTAACTATATTTGACTTTTAGCAAAGAGTAGTGATTCACTTTACAAACAAGTAGTATCATTTAACGAATGGTTAAAACAAATAGAACCTCAAGATGATGAACATTCTTTTCTTGCACGCGTCTCTCAACAATTACTACTCAAACGTACTATTAGTCATGAGCACTTGGCCATTTTTGTTTCAGCCAATCGTGCTCAATTGCAACAACAACTTGATCTTTTTCTGCAAAAACAATCAACACCAGGACTATTAGTCACCAAACGTGTTTCATCAAATTGCCCTCGCATATGTTTTGTTTTTAGTGGTCAAGGTCCTCAATGGTGGGCCATGGGTCGAGAACTCTATTTATCTGAACCGATTTTTCGCCAATGGATTCAACGAATCAATGAAGAATTTATAAAAATCAATGGTGGCGAATTCAATTTACTGAACGAAATGATTGAAAAGACGGAGAAAGAATCACGTATTAATGACACTAATATCGCACAACCGGCTCTATTTGCTGTTCAAGTAGGACTTGCAGCACTTCTCGTCTCGTGGCACATCTTTCCCAGTGCAATTGTATCTCATAGTGCAGGAGAACAAGCAGCCGTTTTTATCTCTGGACGAGTTTCATTGCATGAAGCAGTTCGTATTGTTTATAATCGATCGCGTCTTCAACATCGAAATACTCGTCAAGGTGGTCGAATGTTGGCTGTTGCTATGAATGAACAAGAAGTGCGAGATTCATTGCTCAAAGGAATTGAACATCTGATATCTGTTGCCGGTGTCAATAGTCCACGCTCAGTAACACTTAGCGGTGATGAAAAAATTATCGATGAACTCGAGGGCATTCTTACAGCATTACATCCGACAGTGTTCAAAGCTCGACTACGGATCGAGAACGCATTTCATTCGCATCAGATGGATCGCTTTGGTGTCAGAGAAGAGATGCTGTCAACACTTGGCGATATTCGAGGTCTTCCTCTTGAAGATACAGAAGAAATGTTTGATATTCGTTGTGCACAAGCTTCACTTTATTCACCTGTTACTGGAGGTCGAATAGACGATAAAACGCCTCTTGATGCTCATCATTGGTGGTCAAATATTCGCCAATGTGTTCGATTTGGTGACGCTATTCAGACAATTATTCAAGATGGAGTCGTCAATACTTTTCTTGAATTATCACCTCATCCGGTTTTGGCCACATCAATACATGAATGCTGCGAGAAGACGTCCACCTTTCAACCACTCATTTTGCCTACTCTCAAACGAAAGGAAGACGAGCAGAAAACACTGTTGACAAGCATTGCACAACTCTCATATTCATCCGATGTCTGGAAATACTTTCTTGCATCTCGATGTGTTCAACCAAGTAAAGATGTGGAACATTTATTTGACAACTTTCCCTTATATGCATTCAACTTAACTCCTTGTTGGTATGAATCAAAAGAATCTGCAATAGAGCGTCTCGCTTATCGTCTACCTTTACATCCATTACTGGGTGTTCGTCAGTGGACTCAACACACATCGGCAATATGGAAAAGTTTGATCAATCTCAATCTACCTGAACATGCCTATTTATCTCAACACAAAATACAGGATGCCATCCTTCTTCCAGCTAGTGGATATCTTGAGATGGCACTAGCCGCCTGTCGTCAACTATTGCCAGTAGCTAATAATGACGAGGCGCCACCACCGATCGCTTTTGAGCAGATTGAATTTATCAAAGCTCTTGTTCTTAACGAACATGAATTGACTGAAGTTATCATACAAATTGTGATGCCAATGCGGGAATGGTTGATTTACAGTCGACCATGGTCAGCAGCTGGACCAGATTGTCAACGATCTTCTGGCATGGCTTGTAATGATTTTATTGATTCTTTCGTTGATCTTCAAACATTGAATGCATATTCTCTGCGTCAGTTTACTCTGCATGCACGAGGTCGTATTGATATTGGTCCTCATTTGAACATTTATGCCTCGTCAGCCTATCGATTCAATAAAGAAGAAACAGCAAACTGGTATGATCTGGATGTTCCTAATCTCTATGCTCATTTATCCACAAGAGGATATCAATACGGCCCAAACTTTAGAGTAGCAACTTCAGTTAAAACCACAAATTCAGATATAACTGGCCGAGTTACTCCAGCTAATAATGAACAAAACGATATACAATACTATTTACATCCACTTATTATTGACGGTTGTTTTCATACATTCTTGTCTATTGTACCAGGAATCGAAACATTCGTTCCAGTTGCCATTAACAAGATGATTGTTTATGGAAGTACTTGTCATTTGTCTCAATTAATGACGTATGGATCCTATCATTCATTTCTTGCCGGTCTTTCGCAAGAGCGAGCTTATACTTTGGATCTTGCTATATTTAACAGTAATGATGAAATGATAGAATCCAATACAAAACCACTCGTCGTATTTGAAATGTTCAAAATGCAACGCATTCCTGGTCGTTGGACACTATCGGATAAGACCATTTTCCAAAAGATAAATGAGATTGTTCATCTGCCAAATGGAGATTATGATAATCATGTACAGACAGTTTTATCTGAATTTTGTCTACAAAAGAAATGGTCAAGTCTGTTTAATCATCTGACTAGGACAGTTGATCTTTTACCATCGTCCAACACCTTGATGGATGAGACAGAAAGACAAGAGATCGACATGATGAATAATGACAATGATAATATCAATAATCAACTAGCAGATTCAATTGAGCCATTGAATGCATTAGCTGGAATGTATGCTCTTCAAGCATTACAACATCTTGCTTCATTAGAGAATATTCAACTGATCGTTAAAGACAAATTATGTCGTCTTGTGCGAGAGGATGAACCTCATTTTATCCAATTATTTGAAGCTGCTTTTTCACTTGTTCATCAACATGGACTAATTGATGAATGTGGCAATACCACTATGCCAGTGACAAATTATTCGATTCAGCTAATTCAGCAAAATCTTTTAAATCGATTTCCTCGTCTCAAATCATTCGTTACCCTAATGAATGCAGTCGGATCTAAACTTGGTCAAATACTCTTTGGTGGACGGGCTCATGAAGAGTTATTTACACAAAACAAGAAAACTGAATTAGCTCTAGAAGATGTGCAGAATACTATTTCATTTTTAAAAACACAATGTGTTTTTCAAGCACTCATCAATCATATGCAGAACACTCATCCGAATACGTTACGTATTCTATTATTTGGAGTCGGTATAAGTTCAGTTTCAGTGCCTATTATTCGTCAATTGGCTGATTTTGCTGAACAAACAGACACATATGTTAAGGTGCTTTATGTCGATCTAACGGAAACACTTCTACTAGAGGCTGAACAAGCTTTTCAGTCCTGTCTGCCAAATAATAACAAGAGAAATCAACGAATTTTCATCTCTTATCGTGTATATGATATAGAAGTTGAATCAGACAACTCAATCCTGTTAGGTAAATATAGACTGTTTTGTTCAAATGAACCTGGCCTTATTGATAAAGAGCGGTAGATCGTTAGTTTTTTGTCTTAATCTATGTAAAGGCATCATCATGAAGGCTACTGTTAGAGATTGTGGACAAATTTAAAAAAACGTGTTTGCAAAGTATATCAATGGGTCTAAACTTTTTAGAAATGATATAAAAGTCAAAAGATCAATTGCATCTCCGAGTATCGTGCTTTGACAGAATCAACTCATATAGTATTCCTATTTAAAACATAGTTTAAGGAGTACAATATATCCCGATCAAATATAAAACTTAAAAAGCAGTGTTTCACTGTTGTCTTTTCAAAATAAACTCGCCCATTCACGATTTTGGCGTGTTCACAACAATAGAAAGGGAAGAAGAAATTTAAATGATGTTTCATGTCGGATTTTTGCACATTGAAACTACCTGTATTTCGACGGGTAAAACATTATTTTTTGTGATTTTTTCTTACTATAACAGATGTCTTAGTATATTCTGATTTAAATTGTAATGCGTAGATTTAGTCGAATGCAATGTTTTTATATAAATTGTTTATCTAATTTCAGATGAACTAAAACATGTTTCGATCAAATAGTTTTCTGAGTGTTTTGATAAATGTAGTTGATATTTATATTCTCTTTGAGCGCAATAACTTATGTTTTAAAAGTTGCACAACTGATTGATGTATATTTTTTGTAGACGAATCTCATGATATTATCTTTGTGGCCAGTGTACTTCAAACAATAAGTGATATTGATCACTCGCTTGAGTCTCTTCGTCGTCTTCTTGTGCCAGGCGGTCTTCTTCTCGTCGTAGAATTAACATTAACTCATTCCTACTTCGATCTTATATTTGGCTTATTTCCTTATTGGTGGCGTGATAGTAACAGTCGTGCTATATTGACTATTGATCAATGGAGACAAGCATTTCAGTCAATAGGTGGATTTGAACCGATGGTAGTATCAGCAAAGGCGAATGCATTTGGAGATTCACTCATGATTGTGCGTAAATCAACAGCAAGATCCATTCTCATTCACCTTTCCGAATGGCAGGATCAAGCCTGGCTCTTATTTGCTGATCGTACACACAATCTATCACATGCACTTGTACCTCGTTTACCAAGTTCTAACATTGAAATTCTACCTGATACTGTTACTACCGATCATATTTCTTCAACGATTGATATCATGTTGAAACAATATAAACAATTGCATATCATATTTGCTTGGCCACTCGATGTATTGCAACCTGGTCAGAATAACAATGAAACAACATTTGGATCGCATATAGAACATTTATGTTACAAACTTATTTACATTCTGCAATCTATTCAAAAATATTATCGACAGAATAACTCATTCCCATACGTTTTTATTCTTACACAAAACTCTCAGCCAATGGAAGGAAAGAATGAATTCACTCCTACAATAGCACCACTCATTGGACTTGCCCGTAGTTTAAGTGTCGAATGTCCACGTCATCACATTAAACTCATTGACTTACAACCAACAGCAGATATATTTACAGAGTCATCTTATTCCGACATTCTCATACAGCATATGATGAACTCACGAGAAGTCGATAATCTTGATGAAGCTGTTCTTTCTCTAGAAGCAGACAGTCGTATTCAATGCTTTCAGTGGCATTATGATCGGTTACAATCAAAAGAACAGCAGGAATTATCATCGAAAATGGAAAGAACAATCGTACCTAAAAACGACGCTGACAAGAATCCATTTCGGCTTCAAGTTGCACCATCACGTTTTGTAGCTGATCTTGCTTGGACAAGAGATCTAATACCAATCAACAATCTATTACCTGGTCAAATCCAAGTCCGCATTCACTGCACTAGTCTCAATTTCAGAGATGTCTTGAAAATACGTGGTCTGTACCCTCATACACGAGTGTTTGGTCAACGAGATTGTGATCAACCTTTGGTTGATCGTGATACTACTCCTGGAACTGATTTTATGGGTACTGTTATTCTTTCTCATTCTAAGGATCTGAAGATTGGAGATCGTGTCATTGGCCTTTGGTCGTCAGGTACCTTCCATTCCCATATTATTCTTGATACTTCAGTTGTCTCACGTGTGCCCGACGAATGTTTATTGTCGGATGAACAATTGGCTGCACTGCCTACTGCATTTTTAACAGCAGTGCTCTCCTTAAAACATCGTATTAAACTTAAGCATGGCCAGACCGTTCTCATTCACGCTGCGACGGGTGCCACTGGTCAAGCTTGTATTCAGTATTGCCAAGCAGTTGGTGCTCGGGTTATTGCCACTGCAGGTAGCGATGCTAAGCGATGTTTTCTACGAAAGCACTATGGGATTGAACACGTATTCAATAGTCGTGATTTGTCGTTTGTCTCCGAGATACGTTCTCGTTTTCCAAATGGTGTTAATGTCATTGTTAATTCTCTTTCGGGTCCACTTCTTCAAGAATCATTCAAACTACTTGCTCCCCATGGTCATTTTATTGAACTCGGCAAGCGGGATGTGTACGCGAGAACAAGTCTACCGATTTTTAATTTGCGACAAGATTGTAATTTTCATGTCATTGATCTAGCATTACACGCCATTGATGAACCGCACACCATTCATGAAATGATTGACGATGTTTTGGACCATTTTCAAAGAGGCCTATTCAAACCATTCGAACCTCTGACTATTTTTGAGCCGTCTGAAATAATTGATGCATTTACACAGTGCAGTCTTGGTCTATCGATGGGAAAAATGGTCGTTCGTATGACGAATTCTGAACAACCCATTTTACTTAAAGAAAGTGATATGAACACAAAGATCAGTGAAAATTCAAGTGAAGGTATATTAAATTGTTAATCTAATAGTTATTGCTAGTATCCTTTTGTTTTTAGAATCTATGTTTCCGTCTGTAGTATGTGAGAGAGGAACGATTCTTGTTTCGGGTGGATTGGGTGGTCTGGGACTTACTATGTCTCGTTGGATGGTGGAAAAACGAGGTGTCAAGCACATTGTTTTAATGAGTCGTCGTACAATTGAACAGTTTGAAAAAGTCGAAAATAATCCGCAATTAGAAGATTGGCTGCAACTCAAAGAAACAGCAGCTAAATATAATACCTCAATTGATGTCGTTCAAGCAGATGTTACTCATTTTGTCGATGTTTATGAACTGATTAAACGTCTTAATCAAACATCACATCCAGTGCGTGGCATTATACATAGTGCCGTCATATCCGATGATAAATTGTTGACCAATCTTAGCCAAGAGACACTCTTTCGTGTTATGGAACCTAAAGTGCGCGGTGGTTGGAATCTTCATCAAGCGTCACAACAAATCGGTGCATCCTTGCATTTCTTTGTCATGTTCTCATCAATTCGCAATCATTTGATTGATCCTGGATCAAGTAGTTACAATGCAGGAAATGAATTTTTCGAGGCTCTAGCACATTATCGTCGTGAGCAACTGAAACTACCAGCTTTATCGATTGCTTTGCCAGCAGTGCAAGGAGCAGGCATGTTCCATCGACAACAAGCCATCTTGAATAATTTACTTATTGCTCAAGGGATAGAAATGTTGCCTACAGTACCTACCTTCGAATTAGTCGAACGACTCTTTATCATGCAAACAAACTACTCATCACCTGTCATTTTTGCTGTCGACTGGAAACGACTCCATGCTAATAAAGCTAACTTGGCTAATCGTCAGTTGGTACAATTTATTGAGCAGCAGGCTACTCAACAAGGTATTTCTAATGTACGAACAAATGATTCGGGTTCATCATCAATAGCCAGAATCGAAGTCATTATTGAACGAATTCGAGAAACAGTCATGCGTCTTCTAGGAGCGTCCAGCATTGATCGAATAGATATAGATCGCTCGTTGCTCTCGCTTGGTCTGGATTCACTTGCAGCCGTTTCACTCTACAATTGGCTCAGTCAAGAATGGGGTGCTTTTATTTCGCTAGCGGAAATTTTTCAAGGTGTAAAAATTTCAGAGATAGCTAATCGAGTGCAAAAAAAAATGATAGAACGACAAACAGCATCAAGAGAAATAGAAACTACGTTATCAAATGACATGGAACAGATGGATGGAAGTGAAGACAACTTAACACTTTCTACAACCAAAAAGGCTGCATCATACAACGGCATGGAAGGAGTTCTTAGAGTTTCTCTAGTAAAGGATAGTAAGTCGATCATATTCGCTATTTCGTCCAGCAATACTATTGCTGATGAATACATTCGAAAGTTCGCCAATAAGAAATCAACCATTTATTTTCTTCATGCCACCATGGATAAGCTCAACAGGGAAATCTCCGCTCGTGAGACTATCACTCAAATGCGTCGATTACATCCTAATGGTCCTTATTCATTGGTAGCTTTAGATAATGAAAGTCAAGATATTATCAAAGAAATAATAAAGCAACTCAAATACCATACAAAAGCAGGTGTTAACCATCTCGGTTAACAGAAACTGTTATTAAGGATGACTGTGCCTTTTCTTGATTATTAATAGTTAATGCACAATCTAATTTTTCTATATACTAATAAAAGCGAGTCACAACGAAAAAAACTTCCTTAAGAATCTCAATACATAGAACCTAACGTATACTCGAAAGGTCTACTAAACAAGACACGAGACTACTGAACTATTATGATTATATGATGTTTTAACTTTTCACTAATTGAGCACGTAAGTACGAATATTTATTTTATCTCGTCCAATGAATACAATAATGTTTATTCACTCTCGAGTTCTCATTTCGACAAACTAAGATATAGTTGTATTGATGTCTCAACGTTGCAGATAACATTAAAGCAGCTTTCATATGTATTTTGTTATGATATAAATGGATTAGCATCTTGAGAAAGAAATTGTACGAGATGAGATATCGAGCTTCCTAGACAGAAAAAGAAAATGACAATATTCTTTTATTTGTTTTCGTTGTCCATCGAATAAATCGAATGGAGGGAAATTGAATATCGAAAACAAACTCAAATTTAATCATTCATGATCATAGTTCGTAGAGCACCGTAACATATTCTGTTTGAAGTATTCTATAAACAAAAATTAAAAGGAAAAACAATTTTGTGTAATTTTGGATACTTTACAATGATTTCTGAAAATCATCAATTACTTATAAGCTTCTGAAATCATTCACATAATAAGAACGAACAAAATTCAAAAACTCTTATTTATCTTCGCTTTTATTTCTATCCATTTGTATTAGAGTATCACATTACAATTGACATCATAAACATCCAGTCGTTTCATGTACCAAATTACGCATTGATCAATTATCGTAGGCTAAAACTTTAAATATCGATAACTGTCGGAGTACATGGTGCATTTGCTTATTGAAAGCAACAAATATATTGTAATCAGTGTAGATGTCGACAAATTTCTTTGGATACTCTAGCATTAAAAGTTGATATTGACGATTATTTTTGCAAAATATAAAAAACTCAATCAATTTTTTTATGATCTAAAAATAAAGATACCATGAAATGTGAATATATTCTCGATATTATAACAATGATTTTGTGTAATTCTTTAGTGACTTTGATATAGTCTCTTAGTTCATCTAATGTTAAACATAAATGAGCACCATAATGAAGTTCTTGCAATGTTCTAATCATTTTATAATAGTCTTATAGATGATATCATCAAACAACTAGTCAGATATGCATCAATTGGACGCTGTTATAATTTATCCGGCCCACATGATAAGATATTTCGATAACCATCAGAGTGCTTTTGATGTAACAAATTTTTGTGAAAGTTCTCTTTGAAATTGAAATAAAATATTATTGATCTAATACATGATGATGCTGCATATATCTCAATTATTTTATTCATCATCATAATGACGTTTACTTTTTCTCTTTGTTTTTTTTGTTCACCTTTACATACAAATGTATAAAGGAAGTACAGTGGTTTTTTCGACAAAACACACCAAAAAAAAAAACATTGTGTTTCTTTGTAAGTATGTTTGTGGAAAGTATGTATTGATTTAACAGAAAGGAAAAAATATCGCAAAAGAGAGAAATTCACAATGAAGTGATATTGTAAAAAATTATTATACAAAAAAAATCGAAGAAATAGTCTGATAATTGGAAAAATCAGAAAAGTTTAACCATGATATTGTCGAACAATATGATATAAAATATTTCATTTCATTTCATTTCATTTGAAAGAAAGACATACAAATCAGCAATATTCATAAATTAAAAAAAAGAAAATTTCAAAAGCTTCACATATTTGTTCTTTTCAAAATTTCTGTTATATTAGAAAGTTAACCCATGTGTTCGAATGCGATCGAATTGCGACGCAGTTACGCGTAACTACGATCGCACTGTGACCCGTAATTGCGGAAAATTGCGGCGCAGCTACGCGTAACTGCGACGCAGTTGTTAAAAAAGTGGCGACATGGGTTATACTTGTAGAATATGAATGTGTATTGATAGATTGGCGAAGTAAAAAAAATATAGATAATCGTCATGAATGTAAAAACAGCAAATTTTGAGTGTAGATGTGAATATATGAGTCTTCTGTTCAATCACATTTAAACATACAGATTCACTCGAGTCCGTTATAGTTTGACTTTTATGATTGAAACTTTTATCAAAAGCATTTTCTTCTCAGATCCACTCATCTCTAAAAGTTTTATCCCAAACAGATCATGATGAGTTGAAAGTTTATTGTAAAGATGCTCTTAGAGATTAATTTTTTACTTTTGTAGTTGATTAAGATACAATACTGGTAAATCAAATTTAGATTCACTAGAATGCAATCTCTTCTTGATTTTTTAGAAAGAATTTAAACATCAAAATCGATAATTAGACATGCAGCAATCATATTCATGTTGTGAAAACTGATTTCATAAGTCGCTGCATGAATATCTTCAAGCTCTTAGAAAATGTTAGATTTCGATCGAAATTGCACTCTATCATAAATGAGAGTATGATTATTTATTGAAGATGACGTCAAAATTATAGTCATTAGGAAGAAGATTTAATCAATATGAAAAAATTGCAACACCATCTGATATAATATATTCTACTATATTAAAATCACCTTTTTTTTTTTGAGTACTAATCAACTTTTTCAAGACAGAAAATATTAATCAAATAGGAAAATTCAAACTTGATAAAGAAAAAAAAAAAAGCACATGACTCGAATTGTAGAGTTCGATAAAAAATTGGCGACTACCTTTTTTCATACCAATTATGAATGTTAGAATAACGATGTTTGAGTTATATGAATAACTAATCATCATATATTCAATGATGCATATTTCTATCATTACATTTTTCATAACAACCGTACTTAACCACTATTCATTTCTTTATTATTGCTATGCTTATTTTCGTTCTGCTTGTTTGTTTACCTGTATCACGTGCATTTCTTTTCATAATATCAAATAGACTGTTTTTATTAGTTGGAAACTGCCTTAGATTTTGTTTTGCGTAGTATACCTATATATATATATGTCAATAAAATCAACTATCTTTTTTTTTTCTATTTAGTTTTGATCAGAATTAGAATGTCTGAATTAAAAGATCAACAAATTGAATATTTTCAAGTAAAGTTTTATTTCAAATATTAAATTTCATTTTTATTTTATTGATTTATAGACATTAACTAACTGGAAAGATCGACAAAAAGTGATTAATTTTTTGCGCATGTATGAATGGGATGTCTCTGTACGTTAGTTTGATATTTAAATAAAGAAATTTGAATAGAATTTAAACATTTAATAAATTTTATTTAGTTTGCTGCTGAAGCATTTTTGACAAATCCTGGTAAATATTTTTTGTTTATTTTTCTTAAATAAATTTTTCTTTTAATAGATGCAGAGGAAATTAATAATAATCAATCATGTAAACCGATTTTATTTCGAACAAATTCAAAAGAAGTTGGATCTCGATATAAAACAGTGAATGAAAATTGGACAGCACAAAAAAGATTTTTTGAAAATCATCAACAACAACAACAACAACAACAAACATCAGTAAATAATAACTAAATAAATTATATTCAAAATCATTTATCTTTTACAGAAACATTCATTGGTTAAATCATCACCTCATTCACTTAACCCATTAAATCATCTACAAACAGCAAATAATTTCAATGAAATTATAACTACATCAAATATAGAATCTCCTGATGAACGTGTAGATCAATTATTTAAATTAAATGGAAGTAAAAGAACTCCAATGTTTCCTGATATCAATCAATTAAAACATAGTTTGTTTTAATTTTTCTTTTTATCTTAATTCTCATTAGAAATGAAAGAATTCAGCTTTATTTAAACTCTTAACTAGATTGATTACTTGTCAAATCAAAAATGACAAGCATAAAGAATGATAACATCATTTGCAATAGGAAAATGTTAAAGAATTTATTCTTCTAAAATAAGATCAGAGAGAGAATGTGTAGGATATTTTATAATTCAGATTTCGAATAGGAATTTAAAGTTGTGCTTACAGTCTGATCCAATAGAATCATTGTCTTATCGAAAATATTTCACCTATAATTAGCTTTACAAAATGAATCATCACTAATACAATTATTTGTAAAAAAAAAGTATATATATATATAATCTTTTTAAGCCCCCCCCCCCCTCAGAAAAGTTAATTTTGGTCAAATTTATCGATTTTGTGATTAATAACTCATTAGATAGAGCAAAGTGTCTACTCTCGAATGCACTATAGTTGATTGATTTTATGATGAGATTTAAGGATATTATATAGGTTTTTCTGAACCCCCCTATTGAGAAAAATAAGGTTTTTAAAAACTTATTCTCCGTTTTTCTCAAAATCAATTTTTTTGAGCATACCGTTTACGCGGGCAAACCTTACTCAATAACGACTCAATATAAAAGTGGTAATGTTTGTTTGTTATAGAGCAGACACTTGGAGCTAGGTCGTAATAGAGCCCGATTTTTGAATTTCTCCTTTGTTTAAATAAAAAACTTAGATCTTTGATTTTAATTAGCGTTTTTTTGGTCACGAATTTGAGAATTTTTCGAAAATGTTTTTTTAAAAACCAAACAAAGGGAAATTAAAAAATCGGGCTATATTACGACCTAGCCCTAGGGGCACTCTACAATTTAAAAACCACGCCGACATGCTTAGCTAGTATTCTCATGTTGAAAACCTTGCCCGCGTAAAGGGTATTTTTGACCAATGAATTGACTATAACTCGTGAATGGCTTGCAGATTTCGGGAGATATTTTAACCATAATCTATTCTAGCCAAGACTAACATTCTCTGAAATTTTGGTTGAAATCTGATGAAAAATAACGAAGTTAGTTTCTGAGAGGGGCCCCCTTAATATATAAATTATTTAGACAAACAACAACTTCTTCAATATATTGATTCAAATATTATTGGTAAAAATCTTCGAGCTAATACTATATGGGGATCTCGAAATGGTATAGTTATTTATTCTTCATTATTATAAATAAATACATTTTTTTGTTCTATAGTTATTTATGCTGATTATACAGCATCTGGACGTGGTCTAATATTTATTGAATATTGTATGATAAACAATGTTTTACCTTAGTAAGAAGAATTTTTATTTTAAAATAAGAAATAATAATGGTTTTTTTTTAGTTATGCTAATACACATAGTGAAAATAATGTATGTGCATTACAAACTACAAAATTTCGTGAAGGATCACGAAATTTAATTAAACGATATGTTAATGCAACTGATGAAGATGTTGTTATTTTTACTGGATCAGGTAAATGAATAATTCTTCTTCTTCGATTAAATATTAAAAGAAATAATTAATAATTTCTTAGGATCAACTGCTGCTATTAATAAACTTGTTGATGTTTTAAATTTGAAAGATGAAAAAGTTCGAAAGAGAACTGTTATTTTTATTAGTACATTTGAACATCATTCAAATATTTTACCATGGAAAGAAACAGGAGTTGAAGTAAAATTTCTTTAGAAATTTTTATTTTAAAAATTCTAATATTTATTTATAGATTAAACGTATTCCTAATACAAAACAAGGTCTTGTTAATCGTGATTATTTAAGACAACAATTAAAATATTATCATGATGAAGTTAGAAAACATATTATTTGTACATTTAATGCTGCTAGTAATGTAACTGGTATTACAACTGATGTTGATGATATTTCAAAACTTGTTCATGAATATGATGGTTGTATTTTTTGGGATTATGCAGCAGCAGCACCTTATGTTAAAATTGATATGAATCCATCAAAAATTGCTTGTAAAGAAGCTGTTTTTATTTCTACACATAAATTTGTTGGTGGACCATCAACACCAGGTTTATTTTTAAGAAGAAAAATTCAATCTAGATATTTTTCTCTCTTCTTTTTGTTTTCATTCAGGTATTTTAATAGCTAAGAAAAAACTTTTTAATAATCGAGTTCCATCTTCTGTGGGTGGTGGTACAGTAAAATTTGTAACTTCAACATATATTGAATATGTAAAAGATATTGAAACACGTGAAGAAGGTGGTACACCAAATATTCTTGGTTCAATTCGAGCTGGTTTAGTTTTTCATTTAAAAGAAATTGTTGGTTATCATACAATTGAAACACGTGAAAATGCATTAGTTGAAAAATTCTTCAGACGATTTCGAAATCATCCAAAATTAATTATACTTGGATCAACAACTCTTCCTCGATTAGGAATATTTTCATTTCTTCTTTATGTACCATTTTTTCATAAATATTTACATCATAATTTTGTTTGTATTTTATTAAATGATTTATTTGGTATTCAAGTACGATCAGGATGTTCTTGTGCTGGACCTTATGTTATAGTAAATAAGATATAAGAAGAATTTTTTTTATTTTTGTTTTGAATAAAATTTGTTTTTGTTTTTTTATTTAGGATTTGCTTGAACTTGATGATAGAACAACAGAAGTTTTTATACAATTTGTTACAGCAGATGACAGGTAAGATTTAATAAATAAATTTTAGAAATCATTCATGTGAATTTTAGTGGTCGATTTAAAAATGTTCCTAAAAATGCATTAATGAAACCTGGTTTTACTCGATTTAATTTATCATATTTTGCAAGTGATGAAGAAGTTGATTATATTTTAAATGCAGTCGATTTTATTGCCAATGAAGGATGGAAATTTTTAGCATTGGTAAAAATTGGTTTTTTTTTTCTCAATAATTTCATTGCAAAAAAGAAAAAAAAATTATGTTTTACTTGTTTTAGTATACTTTTGATACAGATACAGCTGTTTGGCATCCTCGTACTATGCCATCAGAAAATCATTTTTCTCAATTTCATAGTCTTGAAATGGCTAATAAAGATCGTAGAATGAAAGAAAAATTTGAAAAATATCCAGTCGAACATTGGGTAATTTAATTTAATTTTTCTATCATTAATTATATATATTTCTTTCTTTCTTTCCTATAGAATTCAAATTTTGATCGTTCAAATATAAATTCATCTTCAGATAATCCAATCGAGGAAGCTATATTAATGGCAAATAATATACCAAAATATGTTTATGAAAATATTGATTTTCGAACTGATCCACCATTAAACATTCCAGATGAATATAAAGATTATATTTGGTTCATTACACCTAAAGATGTTATTCGAAAAATAATTATTGATTTTGAACAAAATGATAAATCTACTAGAACAGCATTATTTCATACGAAAATGAAAAAGTAATAAAGTATCGAAAATAAAATATGCATTGACATATTTCGAGAAGAATTATGATTGATTTCATTTTTTAAATTCTAAAAATTTTCTAATTGTTAGCGTCAACAGATATCGTATGTTGGCGCTAACTTGATTCTGTTTTATTGAATTTTTTTTCCTTTCATGTTTGATATGTATTGTCCTGTTGACCATCATGAGAATACGGTGATCCTTTTTGCGTCATTCTTTTTTTCCATCGCGTTTTTAAATTTTCTTTTTTTTTTGTGATCTATATATGAGTTTGTTTGTCTCTCGTTATTTTCATTATTATTAATTGTTATTACTTCATAATTCATTACTCCTTGATCTTTTTTTGCTTTCGACTCACGACCATTTTTGTTAACCATATTTTCTTCGTTGCTCATCATTAACCATGATAGTTATTATATGTTATTATCATTTATTATTATTGATCATTGTCAATAAAACAACTAGTGATTTTCATCATTGATTATCATTCATTCTTTAACCAATAATTATATCTTCATGTTACGGTGGACGGTAGAGCCTGTCGGATAGGATTCGGACCCGTACCCACTCGGGTACGGGTTCGGGCCTAAAAATTTCGTTTTGGTCGAGTCCGGGTCAGATCCAGCTCTGAAGAAAACTTTGATGCATACAATGTATTATGAATTTTTTCAAAATTTTGTTCGCTTTATGAAGAAAAAAAAATTGAATGTATTTAGCAAAATAGATAAAAAAACAACAAAACAGAGTGTGGGTGTGGGTGTGAGTCTTCTCTTCAATCAGCACACCCACATCCACATCCTAACTTAGCTCGAGTTGCTAAACGAGTTTGAGCTATTCTGCTGCCATCAACACATCAATCGAATGTCTCTTCTCTGATAGTGACAACACTAACAACTTGTCGAACACATTTGAGTGCAGATAAAATCAATAATTTATTATTTACTTAGAGCATACCAAAAGTACTGACCACAGTGTTTAAAGAATTCTTTTGGATAAGAAAACCTATTGACAGATGAAAAATTAAACATACCATATTGTAGAGCTTTTTTAGACGCGTCGAATGGTATATAGTAAATCTTGTTTTCATAGAAGTTTGAAGGACCTAGAGTTCATTTACTGATAGACGACTACACACCGATACCCACATCGATAAGATAATCGGAGATGCTACATACAGGAAGTTGTAGCTCGTCAAAAACTCTACAAAATCGTATGTGAAAAAAAAAATTTTACAAATACTTTCGACCAATACCAAGATCCACAATATTCAGAAACTTATCATTCTTGGGTGTGCATGTGTAATCGTCTATCAGTAAATTGACTCTAGTTCCTTCAAAGTGTTATGAAAACAAGATTTATTATATACCATTCGACGCGCCTCAAAAAGCTCTACAACATCGGATATTTGGTTTTTTTTTATTACTGAATAAGTCACCTTATCCGACATGGTCTTCTAAACGCCATGACCACAACTTTTGATAAATTATAGACACATTTATAAAAAATATGACTGTTTTTTTTTCTTTGTTATTAAAGAAACATTTTGTTTATTTTTTTTTTTTTATCAATATTATAAGTATGAAGATGAAACGTTGCTCTTACGAACAATTCTAACTTGATGTACAGTATATCGTAATGTAAGGCGTAAGAGTATAATGCATCTTGTCTCATTTATGCCTTTTTTTTTTTATTTTAAAATATTGACGACGAGCAGTTGTTGTAGTTGTAAACGTTTTTCTTCTTCTACTTTATTCTCTGCTTAACATTCAAGCTGATACCATTTTTTTGTAGGGGCAACTATATGATGTAAGTTCACGTACTATTTCATTCGTTGAATGTAATAGAACGAACGAAAAAAAAAATTACTTTTCTTTTTTCTTTTTGTATTCGTTCTTTAACTTGTATGAGTAATCATGTGTGAGTATGTGCAAATAAATATACATTCGAACAATGTACTCTCAAGAATGATGGCGACTGACGAATCAACACAACAGATACTAATAAAATGTTCACGTTTAAAAATTCGTGATTATCATAATCATACAAAAAATGCAATTAATATATTAGAAGAACTTATTTCACGATTAGAACGTGAAAAATCAGTTTTTTATCATTCATTAGAATCTTTTATTCATATTATTCAAACAATTATCTCTTCTATTGATCGAACAATATTATGGAAATCAAAAAGAAAAGTGAGCGAACAACAACAACAACTTGCTCGAACAGCGTGTCGATTATTTAAATGTTTATGTCAAATTGATGTTGAATGTGCAACAAGTGATCAAAGTAAAATGATTATATATTCAATTCTTCAATGGCTTCGAGATGATATTGATTTTCATGTAACTAAATCTATTAAGTAAGATTATATAAATATTTATTTAACGAATAAAATTTTTTTCTTCTAGTCAAGATTTACATTTAGCAATTTATTCATGTATTGAACATTATTCTCTTATTTGTAAAAATCAAGAAGATTTTCTCAATGAATTATTTTCGACATCATCATCATCGAAATATAAAACACATTTATCATTATCTATTGGATTTTGTTTTAATTTTCATCATCATCATCATAGAAAAACATCAACACATGAATCATTATCAATTATTGATTATAGTTCTCGACTTGTTATTTATCTTATTGAATCTTCATTAGTTACTTCATCATTATTAATTAATCAAATTTTAACATTTTTTTTAATATATGCTTCTATTCCACGTTTTTCAATTTATCTTATTAATCATACAGATTTTTATTATTCAATTATTGTTCCATCATTATCAACGACAAATAGTGATCGTTTTATACAATGTATTATTGATGAAACAGCTCAATCACAAATAGATTCAAATGATCGTGTTTTTGTTTTTACACATATGATTAATTTACTTAGTGAATTTGCTCTTCATTCTGACATTGAAATTAATAGTTGTTCATTCGTTTCTACTTTTAAACATTTATTTGATGCACTTGTTGATTGTGGAACAACAGTTCCATTATGGTATCTTATTAAATGTTTAGGTAATTTATTAACAAATTCTAGTAAAGAAACAAATCTTTTTCTACAAGAAATGAATCGTATTAATTTAATTAATTCTATAACTAATTATACATCTAATCTTATACAAAAATCTATATTAGGTGAAGGTAAAATGATTTTAAAACAATTACATAATAATGTTTTAATATCTTGTCTATCAATTTTTTATAATATATCAACAATTGATCAACAAATATTAAATAAAGATTTAATAATAAATAAAATTTGTCGATTAATTTTTAAATCTAATATACAACAAATACGTCTTATGTCATGTTTACTTTATTCAAATATTTTAACACAAAAAGAACTTGAATCTGATGATTCATGTCATTATTTATGTGAACAATTATTTTTTTCAATTAATCAAACATTTAAAAGTTCTAATTATTATTTATATAATCAAATATCATTATTAACATTAGTTAATTGTTTAAAAAATTTATGTATACATAAACAATTTCAAATACGTATTGGAAAACAAGATGATAATATTAATTTATTATTTCAAATACTTCGACAATTTTCTTCATTAAAAGAACAATATGAAGAAATTCAAATTATACTTGAATCAATTTGGTTTTTATCATTTGAATATTCATGTGCAAAAAATATTCATAGTCATGATAAATATTTTGCTTTATTAGTTCAATTATCTGAAATAAATTCAAATGAAATAATACAACAAGCAGCAAAAGGAATACTTTGGCAATTAAAACAAACAATATCAATAAATACTAATATAACAAATAAATTAATTATTTCAAAACCATCTCAACATATTATGTTTAGTTATAATCATGATTCAAAAGATTTAGTAAATCAAATTTGTCAAGATCTTCGTAATTCAGGTTATCGAACTTGGATGGATACTGATGATATGCATGGAAGTACATTAGATTGTATGGCACATGCTATTGAACAAGCATGTCTTGTAATATTATGTATAACAGAAAAATATAAAACATCACCAAATTGTCAAAGTGAAGCAGAATATGCTTATCGATTAAAAAAACCATTTGTACCAATATTATTACAATCAAAATATAAACCAGATGGATGGTTAGGTATAATTCTTGGTACAAGATTATATATTGATTTTACTAAAAATGATTTTGATTCGAATTATAATAAACTAGTCAAAGAAATTGAAGCAACAATAAAATAAAAGAAATTTTGTCTATATTGTGTTTTTTTTTATTGTTGTAAATAAAATAGAAGAAATAAAACAAAGTTAGATTAAAATATGAATGCTTTAAATAGATTATCATAGTTATTGTATTTGATTAGAATAATAGCTTGATTGATCTGTTTCTCATGTCACAAAAACTGGATCACTTTTAGCGACATACCGCGGTTCGTTATAAATTTCACCGATTAACTGTGTTTCACAGGTAATTTTTCCGATGAACTATAGAAAACGAATGGCTGCAGAACAAAAGAAAAATGTGTGCGTGTCTGTCGCATCGATTGTTTTGTTTGCTTACTTGCTTAGAGAAAAGAATCAATATAACAATAACGAGGTTTTGCTGAGATTTAATATTTATTTTTTTTATATTTGTTTTAAGATTCATTCTTCTGTGTTCTTTTTTTTGCGTTGGCTTGTATTTTTATTTTTCGTTAAAATAAACTTGATGACTATAAAGTGAAAGCTCAAATATATATGACTAAAACTAAAGCATATTAAGATTTGGGTACAACAAATCCACTTGAATCTTTAGTTGAACGTACAAATAATTTTCTTTATGGTTTATGGTATAATAAACATATTATACAAAAACAATATGAGAAATTAAAGGTTAATAAAGAAGAAGCTGAATTAGGGTGTGGGTGTGGGTGTGGGTGGGGGTGTGGGTGTGGGTGTGGGTGGGTGTGGGGTGTGGGTGTGGGTGTGTGGGTGGGTGTGGGTGTGGGGTGTGGGTGTGGATTAGGGGTGGCACTTTATCTTTA